CGGGCGATAACCCGGGTTATCGGGCTTGCCCCCCCCCCTCCCCCCCAGGATAACCTAACCTTGCCGGTTGTGCAGGTCCGCGGGAGGGGCGGCGCGGGCATATGCAGGGCTGTCCACAGCGCGAGGGTTAGGTTATCGGCCGGCCCCCTCCCCCCCCGGGATAACCCAGGTTATCGCCGATTCGAAGAGAAAACAAAACAAAAAAACGGTTTCTTCGCCGTGGGAAAAAGCGCCGGCCGCGCACAGGCGGAGATGCAGAAGCATCTCGCGCGGCCGTGCCTTCGCTCGGGCGGCCAAATTTCCGACGAGCGCGGCGAAGGCGAAGCATGCGCCGTAGCGTCGTGGAGGACGATAAATGGAGAGGAAGCACGTTGCCAAATAATTTCCATGTGTCTAAAACAGGTTATAAACATGTTCAAACCATGTTTGGAACATGTTTCCGACATTTTAAACACATGTTAATTTCAATTACATTTTTGGGTGTCCATTGTCGTGGCATCCACAAGCGTAGCGAAACAGATTTGCCACTCTCACGCACAAATAGCGCGGCGCTTGGGCGAGGACGACGTTGCGCCCGCTCGCTCGCGGCCCTGCCCGCAACAACTTGGCGAGTGACAAATCTGCGCGGTTCCGAGGCGGGAGCGCCTCTTTTCGGGGCAGGTCTGCGCGGCGCCAAATCGAGAGCGACATTTCGTCCGCTCGACCGTCGACGGACTGGCGAGCGAAAGGATGCGCCGCGTCAAAACGGAAACCCAATTCTCAGGAGACGTGAGCGCGGCGCCGAGACGAAAACGACGTATCGCTCTTTCGCACAGGATGTGCGCCCCGTCCCACTCCTGCCGCACATTCTGCAACGTTGACGCAAACGCCTTGGCATCGCTCGGACTTGTGCATTTTTTCTCGGCGAGAACCATCGAGGACCATCGTGGACCATCGAGCAGGAAAAAACACGCACGACACCGAAAAATGCACGGGAAATGGACGTCCGAGCGACGGCAAGACGTGTGATGATTGAAAGAGGGCAATTATTTATGTTGTGCTTCTGTTTCGCGGGAAGGATGAGTGGACCCGGATGATATCGCTTTCTGCCGACTAGATTGTAGAATTTGGACGCCCGAAATGGGTACCGTACGGAAAGAACGGGTACAATACTCAACAACAAATGTTGTCCCAAACCAACAGCGGCCGCTGTTGGGCAGGCGGTCTTCTTTTTCAAAATGGACACAGGCCGCGGCGTCACCGACAGCGAGTCCTTTTCAGAATGAACAAAAATTGCTGTTGGGCATTGTACCCATTCTTTCCGAACCCATTTCGGGCGTCCAAATAGAACGGAAGTGAGCGGGGGTGGCGCACACGGGGAGGGAGTAGCAAGTGGAGGAGGAGGGGGGAAGGAAACCAGATGGCAATTGGAGGAGGAGGAATATCAGGAGGATGTCAAGCCTAGGCACCCGCAGCCCTGAATGGGGGGCGATCCCTTTCCCGACCGCCGCGCCCCTTTGGACTTCCTCTTGATGCTGCTTCTGCGGCTTGGAATGTATCCCTTATGCGCCTTGCCTCACTGCCTCATCTCGGCGGCCAGCCCGGGTTGGAAGTGAGAGGAGGCGGGGCTTGTCAGAAGGCTCGGAAGCCCTGCGGCCCTCTGAGGCATTTTCTTAGCCTTCCCCGAACACAGAACTTCTGAGAAGACTCGAAGACCCGAGGGCTTCTGAGTAGCCCCACTGCCTTCTGAGAGGCCCTTCTCCTTCTCACTTTTCAGGGGCGGCCTAACCGACCCCTTGCAGGCCATGCCCCTTCCGTGACGTCCCCCTCGCCTCACCCCGAGACGTACATATATGCGGCCGTAGGGAGGCCTGGAGGGCGAGGGGAACGTCACGGAAGGTGCTCGTCAAGGAAGGGGTCGGCTGGGCCGCGCCCGATCTTCCTTCCATCGCTCGCCGCCGATCACCCCCCCCGTGCCCCCTCGCACTGATCCTGTTTACCAGCCTGGAACATATCCCTATCCCTATGCTGGGCACCTCCTCATCACGATGCCAATCTCAGGGATTCCCTTCTTTTTTGAGGGCGAATCCCTAAGATTGTCATCGCCTTTTGGCGTGTCAATCTTAGGGATAGGGATACGTTCGAGGCTGGCAACCTGTGATGGATCCGGTCCCTGGCGGCGCCTCCCCCCCCGCGCGGGCCCGACCTCTCTCTCCTGGCCGCGGGACCTCGGCGGCACGGCCCCGAAACCGCCCAGAAGACCCCGTGCATCGTGGTGCCTGCCCTCGGGATCCAGTGTCGGCGGCCTTGGCATCGCTCGGACGTGCGGATTTTTTTTTCGGCGAGGACCATCGAGGAGCATCCTTCTTGATCATTTCGCGGAGAAACCACGCACGAAACCGAAGAAAGCAGAGGAAATGGGCGTCCGAGCGATGGCCAGAGTGTCGGCGGCGAGCGAAGGGGGGAATCGGGCGAGGCTTCAGGACTGCTTCTGGAACACCGCCGAGATGGCCTTCTGGCCATATCCACAAGGCATGTCCTACGATGACCGGCCGTGCCCCCCAACAGTCCGCCAGGAGGCTCCCGGACGCACGGATGACCCACCCAAGAGGCCCCAAGAGACCCCAACGCTCCAGTAGCCCGGCCCCCAAGCTGGCACATTCGGACGGGGCCAGGACGAGGATAAATCCGTTAGTTAAGAGACCCCAACGCTCCAGTAGCCCGGCCCCCAAGCTGGCACACTCAGACGGGGCCAGGACGAGGATAAATCCGTTCCGGTGCGTTCCGGAAAGCTTTCAGAGCGTTCCGGAACGCTCTGAGGAGGCCGTGGCGCCCGACACACCCTCCAGCATTGCCCGATCTCAGAGATGTTCGATTTATGCGCACCCGATTTTATCCTCGTCCTGGCTTCGTCTTAGCCTTCGTCTCAGAAGGCGGCGGGAGTTCTCAGGAGCCCTCGCGTCTTCTGAGAAGTTTTCAGCGTCTTAGGGGAAGGCGGCGGGAATTTTCTCACAAGGCCGGGGGATTTCCGAGACTGCTGAGGAGGCCTTCTCGTTCTCACTTCCCCACCCGGCTCGCCGCCGACGGGAAGGTTTGTGACGCCCTGGATTTTTCTCACGGCAGCCCCCACAGCTCTTCGCCCCTTTCGGCAGCCCCCAGAGCCCTCGAACCCGTCGGTGTATCTTCGCAAGTCCGTCATTAGAGTGCGTTAGCGCCTGGTAACCAATGAGAAAGTGTAGAGTTAGTTACGATTTAGCGTCAATTAGCTTCAATTAGCGTCGACAGCGCTGATTAGCGTTGATTGACGTCGGTCATCGTCGATTCGCAAGAGCCAGCAAGATGACACGTGAGGCTCCCACCAGTTTCGGCGATTCCGAAGGGTGTGGTTTGCAACCCGCGCCTGTCGGGCGAGGACCAACAAGGGCTTACCGGACCGTTGGCACAACGTGGTGACAACCTAAGCCCCAACGGCGCCGATCGCGGACCACACCCCGGCGTTACCACACCCACAGTACAGTCGAGGTTGATTGGTAGGTCGACCCCGCCAAAGCAAGGGAACCTTTGCGTACTGTGTTTTGCGCGACCCATGCCGTCTGCATTGCTATGGCAACGTGGCCCTCGGAAGGGTCCTGTTGTGTCCTTCTCGCGTGTCCTCTCCAATCAGCCCCAACCTGGGTAGTCGAAGGCCAGACTGGCAGATTGGACTGGGCCCCAAGGGCCAATCCGGCCTGGCCAAATTGGAGGATTTGGGTTATTCGCCAGACTGGATTCGCGTTGGCTCCCTCGCCAGATTGCCCCCATTTGCCAGATTGGGCCTGCCAGATTGGCGCCAGATTGGCTTCGACTACCCAGCCAACCGTAGTCGCCGCGAGTTGCCACAGAAGACACCCCGCCCCCTGACCGCCCCACCTCTCGGCGGGCTCCTCGCCGCGAGGCGCCTCTTGACGGCCCCTCGGGCGCGCCGGAGAGGGGCCCGCGGAGGCCGAGCGGTGCGAAGCGTGAGGGACGCCCCCTGCCGTGCTTCCCCCCCCCTCCGCGGCGACGGAGGCCTGGGTGCGCCCTGCGTTCCTCCTCCGCCTCCTCCTGCTCCTAGCCTAGAGCCAGGTGCAGATGCAGCAGTAGCTCAGACATCATAGCTCGCAATGGTGTTGTCCTTTTTTGTCCTCCTGCTCCTCCTCCTCTACTGCTCCTATACTCCTCCTCTTCTCCCTCCTCTGACCTGGTCACCGTCCACCCACAAGCGGTCTCCACTCTCGCGCGAGTCTCTTTCGAGTGGTGGCCGCTCTTCCTGCCCCCTTCAGTCAGGGGCAACAGGCATCACCGAAGAGCGGCGATCAGCACGGCAATTTTCACATGCGGGGGACGGCCACCTTTATGGCTCTGTGTGCCACCAGTATCCTCCTCGACCACCTGCTCCAGCAGAGCGCGTCGGGTGGCGCGCCACCCCCGCCGACAGTCCCAGACCGAGCCCAGTCGTGGACAGCCACCTGCGCGTCAAAGGCAGCTCGCGCCGCTGGCCCACTGCGCGCGAGTGAAGCGAAGCTGGCTGGCCCCGAGCATGATGTGGACACGCTCCGTGGCTGCGTCGTCGTCGTTGGCGTCGGCGTCGGCGTCGTCGTCGTCGCAGTGTCGCCTGGAGACTGGCGGCGCGCCCCTCACCTTGCACGCTTGCCCCAGCGTGCGGAGTGCGTTGCCTCGCCGTGGTAGCGTTCCATCCTCCATCCTCCTCCATCCTCCACCATCCCCTTCCTCCTCCATCTCCTCTCCTCCTCCTCTTCCTCCTCCTCCTCCTCCTCCTCCTTCTTCTCATCCTCATCCTCCTCCTCCTCCTCCTCCTCCTTCTCCTCCTCCTCCTCCTCCTCCTCCTCCTCCTCCTCCTCCTCTCCCTCCTCCTAGCACTCCATCCTCCTCCTTCCTGCACTCCCCCTCCTCTTCTCCTGGAAGCGGCGCCGCCTTTGCCCCGAGGGCTCCTGAACCTGTTCGCGGACTTAGGCGAGCTGGTGCAGGGCCAGGGCTTCGGCATGGAGAGGAAGGCGGGGGTGCCCCGCCCCCGTCCGGCAGTCGGAGGTCAGCATCGCAGTTTTCATGGGGGGCTTGAAGGCTTGCAGAAGTCTTCACATGGATTTCGGGTGTTCAGGGGGTGGGGATGCGGAGGAAGTGTGGGGGGGAAGTGGAGGGGGGGGCGAGGGACAGGTTGGGGGATGAGGAGCAGCAGAAGGAACATGAGGAGGGGGATCCGGAGGAGGAGGAGGAGGAGGAGGAGGAGGAGGAGGAGAAGGATGAGAAGGAAGATGGAAGGAGCGGGAGCGGTTGGAAGAAATATTGAGAGAGGGAGTGAGGGTGATATAGTCATGGATATCTATATATGTAGACATAGGTGTACATACATATACACGTGTATGTATATTACGACAGAAGGCAAGAGAACGAGAGAGAAAGAGAGAGAGAGAGAGAAATATAGAGCAAGAGACACAGAGAGAGAGAGAGAACACGATACAGAGAGAGAGAGAGAAAGGTTCAGAGAAGGAGGGAGGAAGGCGACAAGCAGGATGAGGAGGAGGAGGAGGAGGTGGAGGTGGAGGTGGAGCAGCAGATCTGCGAGTCTGAGTTTCAGGAGGAGGTGAAGGAGGGCAGGACAGAGGGGGTTCCGGAAGGGGGAGGGAGGCGAGAACCATGTGCGCGTGCTGAGGGGGGGTAGGGGCAAACGAGGGCGAGGGATGAGGAGGAGAGGGGCGGGAGGGGCACAAGCGCCGCAAGCGGGAGGAGGAGGAGGAGGATGAGGAGGAGGAGGAGGAGGAGGAGGAGGAGGAGGAGGAGGAGGAGGAGGAGGAGGAGGAGGAGGAGGAGGAGAGGGGAAGCAGAGCGCACGAGCGAGGAGAGACGACAGGGGGAGGAGGGGCGAGCAGGCGGACGGGGGGGGGAGCGGGGCCCTTCGCCGGTGGTGTGTTGAAGCCCTACAGGATTCCTGTAGGATTCCTTGAAGCCCCATAATATCCCTATGAGTTGCCCATAGCATCCTTATGGGATTCGCTGAAGCACTCTAGGATTCCTATGAGGCTCGTTGAAAACCTATCGGAATCCAAAAAGGATCCCTATAGGATTCGCCGCGCGCCGCCGCGCCCGCCCGGCAGGCGGCCCACAGCGTCTGCTCCCTGAGCAGCGTGCCGACCACCGCGGCGGGCACGCCGCGCGCCTCGGAGGGCGGCCACGGCTGGGAGCCCTCGCCGCGCGTGCGGGAGGCCGCCGCCCGCGGGGGCCGGCCGCGCGCCCCGCTCCCCGGGGAGCCTCCTCGTCCTCCTCCCGGTCCTCCTCCTCCCTTTCCTCCTCCCTTTCCTCCTCCTCCTCCTCCTCCTCCTCCTCCTCCTCCTCCTCCTCCCTCCTCTCCTCCTCCTCCTCCTCCTCCTCCTCCTCCTCCTCCTCCTCCCTGTCCTCCTCCTCCTCCTCCTCCTCCTCCTCCTCCTCCTCCTCCTCCTCCTTCCCCCCGGGGTATTGAGGTCCATTCGGGGATCATCCGTTCACACGGGAGCGATGCAGAAACAGATTGATGTTCAGCTCCTGCGCAAGCATGCTACGCGCAAAGCCAGACGTGTATACAATTCCTGTTCCTCATCCTCCTCTTCCACTTCGAGGTATTCTCGCCAGGCAGTCTGCTCGCGCTCGCGCAGAGCTCCCTCTGAGAGCACCGCACGAGTGCGGTCAGATCTCTGGATATTCTTGACTCCTGGTCAGGCGGTGCCCTGCTCGGGATATCTTCCTCCTCGAGGTATGCTTCTCCTCTCCCGCATCGATGATTTGGATGCGTTCCAAAGTTTCAAGCTCTTCCCGTTGCCCCGCTGCGGATGGCTGTGGGATGGAGTCGCTCGGGATTCTCGGAGCGTGCTCTGAGCCAACCGCCGATGGTCCTGAGTGTGGCCAGGTCATTCTACGCACCTGAGTCACTTGGCTTCGCGCATCGCGCACCATACATATCTTCTCACCCTCGCGCCCTCGCGCCGCCCCCCCGAAGAGGGCCAGCTCCTGCAACCCAAGCCGCGATGCGAGAAGCGCGATCACCTTCGCGCCGCGCCAAGCGCGATCATCTTCGCGCCTCCGGGGTGACCTAGCGTGACGAGAGGACGACGACGACGACGACGACGACGACGACGACGACGACGACGACGACGACGACGACGGACGATGACGACGACGACGACGACGACGACGACGACGACGACGACGACGACGACGCTCAAAGCCAGGGTGGCGCGGCGTGCCGCCCCTCCACCGCGCGCCGCGTGGCGATTCGGCAGACGCGCGTGCACTTTGCTTTCGGCGTTCGCCCTGCACTCCGAAAGCTGCAGCGCGCGGGATCAGCGGTTGCGGCGGTTCCTTGCGGTTTCGCGCCGCAGGCGCAGCTGGACATCGCACAATGCATTCGGTGGCAGATTGTTTGGCATCCCCAGGGCCGAGGTCTGAAACATCAGAAAAACAAGTTTAGAAACACCAGTAATTCAATGATACGAGCGTTAGGCTCTCCATTGTCATGGCAACCACAAGGGGTGATTTGTCGCTGGAATGACCTGTGGTGCAAACCATTTGGGGCCACCCGATCGCTGAACGCGATGCGACAGCAACGGCTTGCGCGCTTGGGTTTGGTCCACGCGCCCCCCTAAAATTGCGCACCAAAGGTCATTCTTGCCTAGGGTTACTCCTGCGCGTAGCCTACATCACATACCAGGTAAAGCGACACGGCAAGCATAGATCCCGTGCGCCCATTCATGGTGACACGTCGCTTCTTTCTGTGCAGTAATCTGGTGTCCATGTCCAGCGTCATTGGATGCACAGTGGCTCAGTTGCCCTCGACTCGCAGTCTCGTGCCTTCCGTTGACAAGGGACAGTGGCAGGTTGTACAAGTCATCGCTCGCAGAACAGCCCGTTTACGTGCCTTGGCGCTTTAATTCAATTCGTGTGGAAGGCATTTTAGGCAGCTCGGTGTCTTCAGGGATGCGGCGCCCATACATACTCTTACCTGGACAGGGCGCACAGCGGACACTCACCCATGGCAGGACCCCATGCCACACTGGGGGTGCATTTGCTTCATTGCCCGCTTTCTGCTTGGAGTGCCGGTGCCAACGTTACCTTCGCACTCCCAGGACAACGAAGGTGGAGTGCGGAGGACGGCGTGGACAAAGGAGGAGAAGCAGCATGGTGGGAGGCACGAGGTGGATTCAAGAGGACCTCGGCTCAATATTTCCCATCTCTTATGTCCCTTTTATGTCTCTCGTCAGTCCTCCACTTCTCTCTTCTCCCGCGTTGCTCTTTCTTCCAACCCCGTCCCTTCTCCCATCTCGTCCCTTCCCCTCGCGGCCCCTTCCCTCTGTGCACCTCTCCTCTCTCATCTCCTCCTTTCTCCCTCGCCTCCCTCCCTCATCTCCCTCCCTCCCTCGTCTCACCCCTGCTCCACATGCCTCATCTCTAGTATTCCTCCTCCCGCCCTCTCCCCCCCTCCTCGCCCCCCTCCTCCCTGCCTCCTCCCTGCCCCTCCCCCCCCTTGCTCCCCCTCTGGGCTGCAGAAGCACGACCTCGTCGTCGCTCTCCCCCCCGGCGGCAGGCGCTCGCCACCGTCGACGGCCTGCAGCGGTCTGCTCTGCTCAGCGGCGCAGGTGCGGGGGGGGAGGGGGGGCGCTCCTGCCGCCGGCGGCTTGGCATCGCTCGGAGGTGTGTATTTTTTTCTCGGCGACGGCCATCGAGGACCCTCCTTGATCATTTGGCGAAAAAAAACACGCACGAAATCGAAAGACACACGAGGAATGGACGTCCGAGCGATGGCGAGGCGGAGGTCCGTGTCGGACGAGTTGGGCGTCGCGAAGTGAGGGGGGCGATACATGAGGGGGGGGGGGGGGGCAGCGAGGGCTGGAGAAGAGGGGACCTTCAGGGCCCCGAAAAGGGCCCTCTTTTAAGACCCGAGGCGTGCACCTCTTCTTCCCCCGTGCGGCGCCCCCCACTCGGCGGCGCCCAGGCAAAGAGGGGAGGGCTGGGAAAGGGGGGGGGGGGATGCGACATCTGACGTACGCAGGTGGTCCAGGCCCCGCCGCCCGGCGGGTCCTTCGAGACGTGGGCGCATCGGGCGACGGGACAACTGGCTGCGCGAGTTGGTTCGCTAGTCCCCCTGTGGTTCCGACCCCCCCCCCCCTTCCGACCAATCCGAGAGGTGGACGGGGGGCGCAGTGGGCAGGGGAAAAGTGCGGCCAGCGAGCTGGCTGCCCTCTGGCCCTTCTGATCACAAGGAAACCACGGTGCAGGGGGGCGAGGACGGCGGGGGCCGAGCCTCGCGGCCCCCGCCGTCCTCGCCTTCCTCTTCCTCCTCCAGCTCCGCTTCCTCCTCCTCCTCTTCACGATCGTCCTCTGCGTCCTCTCCACTGCTTCGGGGCTCGAGCTGAGCGGTGTCTTCTTTGGTCGATGTCGTGGGCCGTTTTCGTTTTGATGCCGTTCTGCATCAAAGGTGGAACGACGACGAGATGCAGTAAAACGAACACAAGACTCGAGCCCTGCTCTGCAGGATATCCTCCAGATCATGCTCCAGCTGGAGATTAGGCTCGGCAGAGGCTTCCAGCAGAGGGATGGGGTCTCGGTCGAGCCTTTCTTTTTCTGCCCCGTACAACTAGGGACCTTCGACCGTGAATGCCGAAATCCATTCTCGAGTAGGGGATCCACTGCATAATTGATTTACCCCAGCACTCATTTTCTCGTCAAGCCCATGCGACACGCATGGACGTCGACGTCGACCTACGCGCAGTCTACGCAGTGCTTGATCGACTCGACGAGACAATCCATTTGGGTGTATATCGACTCTGTACAGTCGGCCCTGATTAGTAGGTCGACCCTCCCGAATCAAGAGTACCTTTGTGTCCTGTACCTCGCGACCCATGCCTCCTACATTCCTGTGGAAACATGTCCCTTGGAAGGGTCTCGTGTCCTGTCGCGCGCCCTGTCCAAACACGTCCGACTGTAGCTGATCACCCTCTCGACATCCCCTCGTGGGATGCCCTCCGCTCCCCCCCTCCGCTCGACATCACCCTCGAGACTCCCCTCCCCTCCGACATCACCCCCTCGACATCACCCTCGAGACTCACCCTCGAGACCCACCCTCGATCACCCTGCAGCTGATCACCCTCTCGACATCACCCTCGAGACTCCCCTCCCCTCCGCTCCTGGCCTGCGGCCGGCCCCGCGCCGCCCCCCCCCGCGCGCGAGCTCCTCGGCTTGCTTCGCGGCCCGCCGCGCGCCCCGAGAGAGGCTACCGCGCCGGCGACCCCGGCGCGGACCGCGGCAGCGCCAGCGGCTCCCGCCGCGGATCGGGCCGAACGCCAGGGGGGGGCAAGGGAGGGACAGAGGAACAGAGGGAGGGAGGGAGGGAGGAGGGGGAGGGAGGGAGGGAGCGGGAGGGGGCGGGAGGGAGGGAGGGAAGAGGCCGGGGAGGAGGGAGGGGGGGAGGGAGGGAGGGGGGGAGGGGCGACGAGAGGGGAGGGCTGAAGCATCGAGCTGTCGAGGCCAGGGCTCGTCGAGGCTCCTCGCCGCCGAGGCCGGCCGCGGGCCTCCCCGCGGGCCCCCTGGCAGGGAGGGAAGGGGGTCCCTCGTTTTTGTTGACTCCGGCTAGGCTCTGCGTGGCCGGACGCTTCCACACCTTTTTAACTACTTTCTCGCGCGAGGGCGGCGAGGCGTCGTGCGGCCTGCCCGCCATCAGCACCTACGGGAGGGGGTCCCAGAGATCCGCGGCTCTGACGTCTTCGCTCCCGCACTCCGGCCTCCGGGGCCCGCTCCTCGGGCCCAGGGGCCGTCGAAGATGGGTCCGTGACGACACTCCACCCCGCGGGGGAGGAGGAGGAGGGCGGAGGAGGAGGAGGAGGAGGAGGAGGGAGGAGGAGGAGGAGGAGGAGGGGAGGAGGAGAGAGGAGGAGGAGGAGGAGGGGAGGAGGAGGAGGAGGAGGGGAGGAGGAGGGAGGAGGAGGAGGCGGAGGCGGAGAAGGACCCCACGAGGCCCAACGTCGGGCCCTCGCTTGTTCAACGTGCGCGTGACGACACACCACCGTGACGAAGGGAAGGCGTTGGGACCTCATGGGGCCGCGGATGGAACAGAGGGGAACGAAGAATGTGAGGTCCGCGAGGATTCCTCGGATCGGCGCTGGGGCCCCCCGGCGGCGTCTCTGGCGCCGCCCCTGGCGCGCTCCGCGCGCCAGGGATGGGGGTCCAGCGCCGATCCGAGAAGTCCGCGCGGAGCTCCGAATGTTTATGTTTATGTCATTGTTCGGTTCCCTAAGATCATACTTGTGGATGTCTGGGCTTACAGTCGGCCTTGCTTAGTAGGCCGGCCCTACCAAATCAAGGGTACGCTTGCGTCCTGTGTCTCGCGGCCCATGCTGCCCACATTCCTGTGGCAGCGTGGCCCTCGGCAGGGTCTTGTGTTATGTCGGGCGTGTCCCCCTACAGGGGGATTTTCGACGAAAAATAAAAGATACCCCCAAAAGGCAAAACAATTTAAAAATAGTCCCCAGACTATGTTTGGACTATTTTTTGATTATTTTGGGGGTATCTTTTATTTTTCGTCGACAATCCCCCTGTAGAGGGACAGGCCCGGCTTAAGTCTTGTGTCCTCTCGCGTGTCCTGTCCAAGGAAGTCCGACGGTGCCTGTGGACGTCTGGGCTTGCGACACCTGCCTGGCGCGCGGCCCGTCTCGGCCCCGCCGCCGGGCACGCTCCTCGATGCATTAAGGGCTCCTGCTCGGCGCCCGGAGGCGCCGGGGAGTTCTCGGCCGCGCGGGCTGGGTCGCCCGCCGCCCCGCTTGCGGTCCCCCCCCTTCTCTTTGGACGCCCGAAATGTGTAAGGAAAGAATGGGTACGCGGTTTCCCAGTGCACGCACCCCGCCACCTCCCGGGAGGCCTCGGAGAGGGGCGGGGCCCCGCTCTGCCGCGCCGCGCCGCGGGCTCCTCTGGCCGTCGGGACGGAGGTCGGGAGAAGAAGGGGGGGGGAAGGGGCAGGCCCTCCTCCTCCTCCTCCTCCTCCTCCTCCTCCTCCTCCTCCTTCCTCCTTCCTCCTTCCTCCTTCCTCCTTCCTCCTTCCTCCTTCCTCCTTCCTCCTCCTTCCTCCTCCTTCTTCCTGCTCCTCCTCCCTCCTCCTTCCTCCTGCTCCTCCTCCTCCTCCTCCCCTCCTACCTCCTGCTCCTCCTCCCCGCCCTCCTCCCTCCTCCTCCCTCCTCCCTCATCCCTCCTCCTCCTCCTTCCTTCCTCCTCCCCTCCTCCTCCTCCCTCCACCTCCTTTTTTCCTCCTCCTCCTCCTCCTTCCTCCTCCTCCTCCTCCTCCTTCCTCCTCCTCAATGTCGGAGTAGCTCTGAGCAGGGTTTGGCATTGCCCGGTGTTGCTTGGCACTGCTTGGAAACGTTGCTTGGTGTGGTTTGTCATTGCCCGGAGTTGCTTGGCATTGTTTCGGGTTGCTTGGCATGTCTGGACATCTAGTGGCATTTCTTGGCAGTTGCTTGGCATTACTTGGCAGTGGTTGGCATTCCTTGGTATTGGTTGGCAGTGGTTTGCGTTGCATGGGGCATTTACTTGGAACCGTTGCTTGGACTCGTTGCCTGGCAACGCTTGGTATTCCTTTGAACTGATTGGCACGGCTTGGCATTATTTTGTCTTCTTCTGCAACGGTTTGAATCGGTTGGCGAGATTTGGCATTGCTTGACACTGCCTGTCGTTGCTGGACATTGCTTGGCATTACTTGACAGCAATTGGCATTGCTCGGCGCTGCTTCGCAGTGTCAGACATCGCTTCGCATTGCTGTATCAGTCATTGCTTCGCATTGCTTTGCAACTCTCTGTATTGCTTCGCATTGCTTGGCAGTGTTTGGCATTGCAGTGCGGTATTTGTATTGCTTGTCATTGCTTGTAATTGCCTGCCATTGCTTGCTAATGCTTGCCATGGCTTCGCATTGCTTCGCATTGCTTCGCGGTGCTTGTCATCGCTTGGCATTGCTCGGCATTGCACGGGCAACCCCAGGCGGTTTAGAATCCCTCTGAACCCTAGGCAACCATGAGGATTGCATCTCACAGCACGCCAGTCGTTGAAGTACATAGGTATGTTTGGATTTATAGACCCCAATATAGTTCCCTGTGTCTTGTTATTATGGCTGCGGGCCCGAACCCAATCTACTCTATCCGCATTCCCACTTCATATTTCTACCTACTTCTTCCGACTGGCGGGACGGCAACACCTAATCGGGGAAGCAGCCGGTCCCAGGGAAGGGGTCGAGATTTCCAGGGGTCTACGATGTGACCGACATTTGTCTTGCGAGGAGGCTGTTCACGGCGAGAATATTCAATGACAACACCTATGTAGATGTGTATATATATATACACACAAGTGTTTGGGCATATGTGGAATTTGTTTGTGGCCCTTGGAGCCTGCTGGAGGCTTCCAGTCTCGCCATTTGCTTAATTCCCTCTTGTTTTGTTTTGGCTCGTTTCCGATACAGGGCCGTCAAGCACAATCCAGGCTTCCAGAATGAAAGGTTGGTTCCCAAGAAGTGGGCGAAGAGGTGCAGATGACCTTCGAAGAGGGGGGAGGAAGAGGAGAAGGAGATAGAGAGTCGGAGGCCCCGTCCTCCTCTGCCTACCCCTTGTCCGTGGCTCTGCGGAGGTGTCCATGGTCCCTGGGAGCGTGCTTGGGACGCTGTTCCAGGGACCTATTGGATCCTGAGGATGGGCGTCCACGGCGCCAACACCGCCCCAGGTGACCACAAGGAAGCAGAAGAGGCTCGATTTTGCTTGAGATGGCTCCAGATCGCCCCAGGAGGATCCCCTGCAGGCTGCGGAACTACAGGATTCGCATTCGTTCTACAGTTTTTAAAATGTTACGTGCCTCGCGTGGGGCCATCGAGGGCGGCCAACGAGACCCAAGACGCCGTCATGCGAGCCCAGGAGGGCCCTCAGAAGGCTCACGAGGGCGCCAAGAGACATCCCAAAACGTCCCACACAGAGTCTCGGGAAGCCACTGGGGCACCCAATAATTACGCCTCCGACACCCCCAAAGCGGCCCCGATATTTCCCGGAAACCCCCCAGGAGGGCTCCCATGGGTCTCCGACAAAACCAAACTCATTGCGCTTGTGTCCAGGAAGTTGTTGCTAGATTCTAGACATGTCGCGTAACTCCGGCAGCCCATCTGGAAACGATGCCAGGCGAGTTGCCTTGATCAAGGATGAGGAGGAGCATGTAGTGGAATTGAGGGCTGGGGCAGCCGTCATACCCCAAGAGGAGGAGGATGGAGGGGGAATCGGAGGAGGAGGGGGTGCGCCTTCACAGTCAGCTAGCGTGCGCTACCTTCTGGTCGTCGATGGGATTGAGGCGGTGTAGCGTCGATTCAGCGTCGATTCGCGTCTCGATTCGCAGGGGCCAACAAGATGGTATGGGAGGCTCCTACGAGCTGCGGCAAAACCCGAGCAGCCGTGACCGGGGCCCGCTTCCACCTGGCATCTGCACGAACGAGATGGGCACGGAAAGAATGGGTAAGATACCCAACAGCGGATCTTGTTCGTGTTGAACAGGACTCGCTGTCCACGCCGCCGCGGCCTGTGTCCATTCGAGACAGAAGGCCGCCTGCCCAACAGCGGCCGCTGGTGGTTTGGGACAACATTTAGTGTTGGGCATTGTACCCATTCTTTCCGTGCCCATTTCGGGCGTCCAAATCTTCCTCCTCCTCCTCCTCATTCTCCTTCCTCCTCCTCAATGTCGGAGCAGTTCTGAGCAGGGTTTGGCATTGCCCGGTGTTGCTTGGCACTGCTTGGAAACATTGCTTGGTGTTGTTAGTCATTGCCTGGAGTTGCTTGGTGTTGTTAGTCATTTCGGGCGTCCAAATGGCAGGGGCGCTCCCGCTTCCTGTGGCCCACGGCCAGGCTCCGAGGGCAACAGCCCGGCCCGCAGCAGCTCGCCGCCCTCGCCGCGCGGCGAGGCGCGTCCTCCGGGGTCGGCCCGCGCGGGCGGGGCGGGGTGGGGGGAGCAGGAGGAGGAGGACGAGGAGGAGGAGGAGGAGGAGGAGGAGGAGCAGGAGGAAGAGGAGGAGGAGGAGGAGGAGGAGGAGGAGGAGGCGAAGGGGCGAGAGGAAGAGGAAGGAGGAGATGGAGGAGAGGAGTGAAGGAGAGAGGAGGGAGGAGGAGAGGAGAGGAGGAGGAGGGAGGAGAGGAGGAGGGAGGGGAGGGAGGAGGCTGGAGGAGGAGGGGAGGGAGGAGGACCTGGGAGAGGAGAGCAGCAGGGGGATGAAGAGCCTGAGGGGGAGGAGGACAGGAGAGGAGGGGAAGGTGCGTGGGGAAGATCAAACGGGAGGGGAAAGAGGACGAGGACCAGGCCGAGCAGCAATGTGGGAGATGAGGGGCAGGATGCGCAGGGGCAAGCGAAAAAAGTCCCTCCTCATAGGCACACCTCCTGTTCCTGGTGGTCGCGCACCTGAAGTTTTGCGGCTTTCTGAAAGTGTTTTGCCTCTTCGGGGAGTGATTTGAATATTTGTTTGAAGGCCGGGTTACTTTCGAACCTACTGAGAAGGCCCACCCCATTTCACGCACCCCCCCCTTGGGCTTGCCGCCGACAAGAAGCGAGGGGGGGCGAGGACCGAGGATTAGGAGGACGGATTGGGACGTGGGCGAACGGCGAGCGGGAAAGGAGCGAGTAGGACGAGGATGTGGATGATAACGATGAGGACGAGAAGGAGGAGAGGGAGCAGGGATCAGGCCCAGACATGCGACGTCCTGATTTTTGTCAGGACGGCGTCCCTGGAAGTCCCGACTCTTTCCCCTGGACCGGTGTTTCATCCTGAGTCGTTTTTGACGGTCCCGAGGCCCGGCGAGGACCCCCCCAGGGCCGAAAATAGCCAAAAATGTGCCGTCCTGATTTTTTTACGACGCGAGCATGTCTAGGGGAGAGGGTTGGGGAGGAGGTTGAGGACGAGAGATGTGGAGGTAGAGGCCGCTCGAGGCCGCCGCAGCTGCGGCCGCGGCCACCGAGGCCGGGGCGGCCGCCTCGGGCCTTGCGAGCAGGCTGCGTGCCGCACAGCACGCCTACGTGCTGCTGGAGGAGGACAGCGACGCCGCGGGGCAGCCCAGCTCAAGTAGCAAAACCCAGGCACACACGTTCGGGGGTCCGTGCGGCGGGTGTGTTTTTCGGGCCAGACGAAAGAGGGGATAGGGAAGGAGGGGGTACGAAATCTGCTGCATGCAGCTGGTTTCGGCCCCACCGAGGGGCCCATTCCTCGAAACATAGCCGCCTGAGGCGCCAGGAAAATCAACTACGTGAGCTGATTCTCTACTCTACCCTTTGCTATCCCCCCTTCCGTTCACCCCGACAGCTCAAGTAGCAAAGCCCAGGCACACACGTTCGGGGGTCCGCGCGGCGGGTCTGTTTTGGGCCTCCCGATTGGGATCCGAAGATCGCGCCGAAACTGCCGGTGCATCGCTCATGTGGTTCGACATGAAACCCAATTCTGATCCGCGCTGGCGTGGCCGATGCACCCGCCGACGTCGCCGATGCATCGCTGATGCGTCGCCGACGTATCGCCGATGCATTGGCGATGCGGCGCGATCCTGCGACCCGTCCTGCACGGACCCCATGCAGGCGGCCTCTGTCTCCTGGGTCGGCGCTGGGCCTTGGTTTATGTCGGGAAAATCAGCTACGCGAGCTGATTCTCACCCCCCCTTTGCTATCCCCCCCTCTCGCCCAGCCCGAATGAATGCTGGAGGCCTCGGGTATCCCCACCAGTTCACCCAGAAACGCTGCCCAAGCGAGTTGCACTGACTGGGGAAGTACAGGGACAGGCAATGGAACAAAGAGGGACGCAGCCATCAAACCGAAGTTCGGGATCAACCTGAGCAGATCAAGGAGTCAACCATAAATGACTTCTCGGATCTATTGATGCGGGAGCCTCTTGACAGCTTACTTTGGCAATGTTGGGGCAATTTGGGAAGCGATTGGGGCTCTCAATCTTGGGACCATTTCGGTTGTTTCCTAGGGCCATCCTGGAGGACATCGACCAGACAAGAGGGCCTCTCAGTTTGCTCCGCCCCTCTGGAAGCCGACGGAACGCCTTTGGGAGCCCTATTGGGGCGTGTGAAGGCTGTTGGAAGGACATTTTGAGGCCATCCTGGACCAGAGCAGCCAGCTTGGAGGCCATCATGAGCCTCAAGAACTACATGATCCAGCTTGGAGCCATCCTGGACCACATCAAAGGCCACCCAGAGCTACCTGGGTCCATCTTGGAGCCATGTTGGCCCAGCAGCCTCCCAAGGATGTCCCCGAGATGCCAAAGTCTTTGGACACTACTTGTTACCAACCCTCATGTGCTCGGTTCTGTTCTGAATAGACAACCGTTCTCGCGTGTCCCTCCTTCTGCCTCCTCCCTCCTCGGGCCTCCTACCTCCTCCTCCTCCTCCTCCTCCTCCTCCTCCTCCTCCTCCTCCTCCTCCTCCTCCGCCGACCTCCTGCATCCACTGCGGTCCCTCGGGGGCTGCGAACTGTGCCACCGTCGCCACTTTCGTGGGCTCCCGGGAGGCACGGCTCCGTGCAGGGCAGCGCAGTTCATTTCGAGACTTCGCGACTCCCCGGTGGCTGCGAGCTGTGCAACCGTCACCGCTTTCGTGGGCTCCTGGGAGGCAAGGGCTCCGCGCAGGGCAGCGCACCGCACTGCGAGACCTCGCGGCCGACTGCGCAGCCGTCACAAATTCCCGTGCGCTCCTGGAGGGCACGGCTCATTTCAGGGAGGCGCAGGTCACGTCGAGACCTCGCGGTTCCCTCGGGGGCTGCGAGTTGCGCCAGTGTAGCCGCTTCCGTGTGGGATCCTGGGAGGCATGGCTCCGTGCAGGGCAGCGCAGGTCGTGCATCAAATGTCGCGATGTGTTCTTGTGCATTAAGCGTTCATACGAATATTCGCCTCCCGTGAGAAAGGGTTGGGTACGCCTCGGGCTATTTCCAAGTATTGATTATTGTTAGGGCTCGCCGGGTTCGCCCCTGTTCTAGCCAGAAGCGTCACTTTGCCTTGCGTCACCTTCTCTTGCGACGTTCTTGGGTTTTCCTTAGTTCTTCTTGGGCCATCGTGGAGCCACTTTGGGTCCTCGGAAGGTCGTCGGAAACAAAAGGGCGATAATGCCAGAATCACCTCTGGACCTCTCGGAGTCGTGCTGGATGAGTCTTGGAGGCTCTTGGAGCATTATTTGAGGCCATCTTCAGCGATCGCTTGCAATAATTCCACACTGGGGATCATCTTCGGCTCGCTTGGGCAATCGTGGAGCCATGTTGGGCCATCTTGGGCGCTCTCACTGGTCACGCGGCCCCCCGTCCAGACCCAGAGGGAGTGGGGAGGGGGAACTACAGTCGGGGCCCTGAAGAAGGAACCCTTTTTGTTGGGGAGGGGCTCCGCGTTCCTTAAGTGTTTCACAGCTTGCCTCAGGCTTTCCTTATGTTTTCGACCGGAAATCGAAGGTTCACTCATGGACAAAAAGGGGCCTCGTTCCTTATTTAGGGTTCCTTAGGTCAACGCCCCGACTGTAAGCCTGTCTCCGAAGGGAAGAAACAGGGGTTGGAAGAGGAAACGCCCTGGACCGCCTCCGCCCAGAGGGTTGGTTAGATCATTCCCAGTCCTCCCTTAGGTTGGGTCCACGATCCGAATGGAGCACTGCTTGCTTGCTCGAAGTCTCTCTCCTCATCCTCCTGCCAACGTGCAGGTGTAGGACAAAATGCGTGCCTCATGCCTCCTCGCGGTTCTCCTGGAGGGCTGCCATCTGCGCAATTGTCGCCACTTTCGTGAGGTCCGGGGAGGTCCCGCAGTTGGAGGGACACGCGCACCCAGTCGAATCCTCGCGGATCCCTAGAGGCTGCCAATTGCTCGATTGTCGCCCTTCTCGCCCGTTCCTGGGAGGTCCAGGAGTGCGGAGGACCACGCGCATCCAGTCGAGACCTCGCGTTTTTTTGGGGGCTGGTCACTGCGCAGTTGTCGCCAGTCTCGCGGACTCCTGGGAGGTTCAGTTGCGCGTAGGGGCACGCGCACCCTGTCGAGACCTCGATGCTCCTTGGCGGCTGGCTGCGCAATTGGCGCCAGGTTCGCTGGCTCCCGGACGGTTCCGACGAGCGGAGAGGCGCGCGAGCCCAGTCGAAATCTCGCGGCTCTTTGGTGGTTGTGAATTGCTCGACTGTCGCCACTTTCGCTCACGGGAGGTCCGGCGGATCGGAGAGACACGCGCACCCAGTCGAGATTTTGTGGATCATTGGCGCGGTGCCACCTGCACAGCTGTCGCCCGTTTCGCTGGCTTTTGGGAGGTCCATTGGAAAGGAGGGACACGCGCGCGCCCAGTCGAGCCTCGCGGCTCCGTCGGGCTTCCAGCTTCGCATTTGTCGCAATTTTCGTGGGTTTCTTGGAGGTTCAGCTGAGCTGGGAGACACGCGCGCCCAGTCGAGACCTCGCGGCTCCCGCGCGTGCGTGCATGGGGGGGGGGGGCGGCGCGTGTGGTCCGATCTTGTTTGGCGAAGCGTTCCAGCGCGGCGTGTGCTATTTTGCATGGAGTCTCTCCTATTACTGATCGCCTCGCGTTTAGAATGGACTTGGAACGTCTCTTGTAAGTTGTCTTTATGCGTGGCATCAGTGCACCACAACCATGCCTGGCCAGGGCCATCCTGGACATTCGGGTTGGGGTGTGGACTCGCTCCCTGGCCTCGGCCATGAGGGCGTATACACGATGCCAGGGCCCAAGATGCCCCCGGCCTGGCATGGTGGGCGCCCCTTTCTGCGCAGGACAGCGACGCTGCAGAGCAGCTCAACACCTCCTACGACGCGCTGCTTGGCGCCTGCGCGGTTTCTCCGGACGCCAGCGACGGCGGCGGCAGCGCGGCGCCGAGCGCGCGGGGACCGCCCTCCGGGCAGGATGCCGCCGCCCGCGCGGGCGCCGCCGGCGTCGAGGAGGCGCGCGTTTGTTGGGCCCACGTGGAATCCGCGGGGCAAGGGCCCGTAGCGCCCAACCCGGCGGCCAAGGGGCCGCGGCCATCGCTGCAAGCGTGGGCGCGACAGCATGCCACGGTGCAGGTTCTGCAGAACCCTGTGAGTCTGCACGCGCAGGAGCGGGAGAGGCAGCCAGAGGTCCTTGAACTGCGGGGAGGCACGCCCTCAGAGCCGCCGCCAGCGCAGCAGCCGCAGCAGCCGCAACCCATGGCTCCCGAGCAGCCACGCGAACGGCCGCCCGACGAGCGGCCTGCGCAGCGGTCTGAGGAGCCACCAGAGCGGCCGCCGCCGAGGTGGCAAAGGCCCCGAGAGCCGCGACAGCTGGCCGAGGCGCAGCGCGAGCAGGAGCGGCAGCCGCAGTTGCAGCCGCACTCCTTGCCACAGGAGCAGCAGGCCTGGTTGCGACCACGGCTGCAGCAGCAGCCGCAGCCTGAGGTGTTGCAGGGACCAGAGGAGCCAGCGGCACCGCGCCAGCTCGGCACCTCCCTGCGGTTGCCGCTGGCGGCGTTGTCGTCGCAACGGGCGGAGTCCCGCTCCTCGCCCGACGGCAGCCCTGGCTCGTCGCCGTGGGGAGCTGCGCTTCTGCACTGCGAGGGGCCGCCCGCGAGAGCGTCTGGTCGCCACGCGTCCCGCGTCCCACGGGAGGCCGCAGCGGGGGGGATCCAGGCCGAGGCAGCATCTTGGGCGCCCCCAGCCGAGCCCACACCTGCGCAGTCGCCAGACCGCGCCCGTTCGCTCTCGCCATGCAGCCGCGCGGCCTCGAGCGCCAGGGCTGTTGGCCACACCGACCCGGCCTCCACAGCGGAGCTCCCCGCAGCTGCGGGCGACAGCGGTGTGGCCGATCCAGTCCCGACGGTGCCGCCCTGGGCTTCGGCCATCTGCCGCTCTGGCGCGCCGCGCGGCGGGGGCTCCCCGCTGTTCTCAACGCCGCTGTGGGGGCCGCCGCGTGAGGCGCCGACGGCAGCAGCTCAAGGAGAGCGAGTTGGCGACTCGGCGCTCCCGCTGAACCCGTTCGACATGAGTTCCTCTCAATTGCGAGAGTGCGCCGCAGTGCAGAGGGACGGCGGCACGGCCGCGGTGCGCCGCGAGGAGCAGCGCGCGGAGAAGCGGGAGCGCTCGCCGGCTTTCTTGGCGGGCGCCTTCGGCGGCGGCGCCGTCGGGGGTGGCGGCTCCCCGGTGCGCGGGCGGGCAAGCCCCGCCGAGCCACAGGGCGAAGCCGTGCCTGGGCTCCGCAGGGAGCCCTCGGCGCCCTCGGCAGAGCCGCGCCGAGCAGCGCGCCACGGAGTGCCGCGGGACAGCTCGTGGAGCGACTTCACGGGGCTGCTCGGCGCCGAGGCGCGCACCGCCGCGCGGGCCGGCGGCGGCGGCGGCCCGGCCCCCGCCGGCGCGCCGGACTCCTGGGCGGCGGCGTGGCCGCGCGGCGACCGCGGCAGCAGGACTCAGGAGGGGGAAAGAAAAACTCCGACACACTGGATCGTCGATCCCCAGGAAAATATGCGAACACATGGGAAGTGGGGGGGGGGCAGACCACAGCCCAGAAGATCTGGGAAACTATGGGGAATCTGTGTATCTGTGTGTATTTATTTGCGTGTCCCGGGGCCCCTTCAAGGACGTCCCCCGCGGGGGCCCGCCCGCACGGCGCCTCGGCCTCTGCCGCGGCGCCCGCCGGCCCTCACGGCGGCGGCCGGGCGCACGGCGCGCACGCCCGGGAGCGCGCGGCGCCGCCGGGCGGCAGCCACGCCGCCCCGCCTGGCAGAGCCCAGGCTCTGCACGCCCTCCCTCCTCCCCCCCCCCTCCCTCCCTCCTCCCTCCTCCCTCCTCCCTCCTCCCTCCCCCTCCCCCTCCCTCGTCCTCTCCCTCCTCCCTCCTCCCTCCTCCACCCCTCCCTGGAGGCTCACAAAGATCTGCACGAACGAGATGGGCACGGAAAGAATGGGTGCAATGCCCAACAGCGGATCCTGTTCATCTTGAACAGGACTCGCTGTCCGCGCCGCCGCGGCCCGTGTCCATTCGAGACAGAAGGCCGCCTGCCCAACAGTGGCCGCTGTTGCTTCGGGACAGCATTTGTTGCTGGGCATTGTACCCCTTCTTTCCGTGCCCATTTCGGGCGTCCGAACAGGCCGTGCGCCACCCGCCCGCCGAGCCAGCGGCCGCCGGGCCGCCCGCCGCCTCGCAGGGCGACTGGGAGGCGAGTCGCGGGAAGCAAGCAGCGGCGGAGCGTCTTGGCGCGCCCATAGCCCTGCCAAGCAATGTTCTAAGAGCCTTTTGTTCGTGGTTTTCACGGAGTGTTCTTATCGGGCCGGGCGAAAGGGGGGGATAGGGAAATGGGGGGGTCGCGAAGTCTGCTGCGTGCAGCTGGTTTCGGCCCCACCGAGGGGCCCATTCCTCGCTGCATGGCCGCCTCCGGCGCCGGGAGGCGCCGGGGAAATCAGCGACGCGAGCTGATACTCAAACCCCCCTTTTGCTATCCCCCCCTTTCGCCCGGCCCGAAGCAAGCAGTGGCGGAGCGTCCTGGCGCGCCCATAGCCCTACCAAGCAACGTTCTCAGGACCTTTTGTCGTGGTTTCCACGGAGCGTTCTCAGGACATGTCTGGCGGAGTCTGTCTTGCTTTAGCACATCGGGCTTATGCTCTGCGAATATTGTGCTCGTAATAAGATCAGTTGTGGGTCCTAAGAACATGTCGTGGTAGGGCTATAGGAATGCCGGGACGGTCGGTCCCTGCTCAAGGGAAGCAGACAACGGGGAAACCAGGGAAACGCGAGACTCGAGCACGCCAGAACTCGGTTTTGCCGACGCCGTTTGACGAGCGCGTCCTGGGTGTTGACGCTGCGGTGTTCGTGGGATGTCTGCAGCGGGAGTTCGCATCAAAGTTCAGATGGGGGTTCGTCATTTTCGTGATGGCCCGGTCAGGCCAACCCGAGTCCCCCGAACCCGAGTCTTACGACTCCCTGAAAAAATGGTGTCGTCTGCGCCGACAGTGGCGTGTATGCTTCCCGCGTGAGGTGGCACGGACGCGCCTGCGTTTCCAGTGCAGCGAGCCGCGCTGGCGGCGCACGCAAGCCACCGCGCAAGGTCGCGATGCCATCTTGCGTAGGGCCCGCTTGTTTTGGCCGCTCAGGTTGATCCCGCGGAGGTGCGGCTGGAGGAGCCGCTGGGCTCGGGCAGCACCGCCGAGGTGTACCGGGGCACCTGGCACGGGACGGACGTCGCGGTCAAGAAGCTCAAGCGGTCCGGCAAGCTGTCGCAGGAGTTCACCCGCGAGCTGACCGTGCTCCTCCGGCTGCGCCACCCGAACCTGGTGCTCTTCATGGGGGCCGCGACTTGCGCGTCCCCGCCGATGATCGTCTCGGAGTTCTGCGCGGGCGGGACGGTGTTCTCTCTGCTGCACCAGCGGCGGGAAGTGACGCTCTCCTGGAGCCAGCGTCTCAAGATCGCTGTCGACGTGGCCAAGGGTATGAACTTCCTGCACTGGCGGCAGGTTGTGCACCGTGACCTCAAGTCACTGAACCTGCTGCTGTCGGCCCCGGTGAGCAGGCATGATGAGGTGCCGTTGGTCAAGGTCGCGGACTTTGGCCTCTCCCGCGCTTGGTCGGGCGACGCCCAGTCGAAGGCCCAGACCTGCATGACCAGCGGTGCTGGGACCTACCACTGGATGGCCCCGGAGGTGTTGGACGGGCACAGTTACGACGAGAAGATCGACGTCTATTCGTACGGCATCTGCATCTACGAGCTGCTGACGAGGCGGATACCCTACGACGGCTCTGGCCTGGAGCCCGTCTCCATCGCCGTGGCCGTCAGCAGAGGAAGACGCCCCGACACCGCGCACGTGCCCCGCGACTGCCCAGCGGACCTCCGGTTCACCATGGAGCGAAGCGGAGGAAAGCATATCGATGTTGATGGCCCCTCTCTTCAAGCAGTGGCGAAGCGTCCTGGCTCGCCTTTCGGCCCACCAAAGAGTGTCCTATAAGAACTTCCTGAGGCTTGCCCACTGGAAATGGGAGTGCCAGGGCGGTCGATCCTTGCTCGGTCTCCCCTTCTTCACGGGTTTCGCCTCTTCGGGGATCTTCCCCCATGGGGGCTGTCGTCGCCTCGGGGGCCGTGGCGTGCTGGTCAGAGCGCACCCCGGACGGTAGCGGCGATGTCGGTATTCATGTGGCCACGCGCAGAGGGGGGGGGGGGTTAGGGGGGAGGGGGGGGAGGCTTCTGAGCACCCCTGCTTCTCAGAAGGTGCGGGCCTTCTCTGTATGCTGTGAGGCCAGCGCCTTCTGAGAAGCAGCCTCCTTCTGAGGGGCCTTGGCCCCTCCCCCCGACACCCCCTTCCGCGCGCCGACAACTTCTGCGCGTTCCACAGGAGTGCTGTTGGGCGCACAGCCCAACCGGCCGCCCTGGCTTCGACATCATCCTCGAGACCCTGAAGCTGGTCCAGTGCCGCTGAGCCCCCGCCCCGGAGCGGGGCCGGGAGGCGCCTATAGGCGGTGGTGCGGGCCCTGTTAGTGTCCAGGCCGCCCATAGCCATGAGGCCCGGGCGGATGGGGCGGAATTGTCGCACCCCATGGCCGATGCATCAACAGTGCGGCGCGGTCCAGATCCCGAATCTCTCCGTCGCGACGTCGCCGATGCAACGACTCCCCTCCTGCCGTCTCAGGAGCCTTCCTAGAAGCCTCCGATCCCTGCCAGGAAGCCCCCTGCCTCTTAGAGAATTAGTCGTACATTCTACGAGTGGGAGTGTGTCGCCAGTCCGCGGCGAGAGCGGCAGCGAGGGCGGCGGCAACGGCGAAGGAAGCCATCGGCGACGGCGACAGCAACGGTGGCTAAGGCGCCGACGACGATGCTGGCGGCGACGATGCCGACGGCGACGCCGACGCCGACGACGCTGGCGAAACCGACGGCGGCGACGGCAGTGGCGCCAACGCTGGCGGCGGCGGCGGCGGCGATGTTACGCCATGGTCAACTGCTCGAGCTCTGTAAGGCTCGCGCTAGCGATGTACATATGAAGAGCTGGATTGCGCGCTGTGGGCTGCTGGAGCGCTCGCGCTCGATAAGAATGCAATGCTGGAGCCCACGCTTGCTCTTTGGCTTGGGTTGCCAGATCGCTCTCGGTCGATCAGTAATCAGGCGTTTTAGCGACCCTCCTTTTTCACGGCGAGTGTCCCTCGCCGTCGCGGGTGGGACGGGGGGGGCGCCCGGGCTGGAGCGCGCGGTGGGGCTCTCCAGAGCCCGTGCAAGACAGCTGGCCGCCGGCGCAAGTTCAAGACAACGTGGGTGGGTCGAGGACGGGTCGTCGGCGGGCCGCCGGGCGAATGGCGCGGTGCGCCGGGGGCGGGTCGCGGGGCGGGTCGCAGGTGCAGATCGCGGTTGGGTCACGGGGCGGGTCGCAGGTGGGTCGCGGGTGGGTCGCGGGGCGCGGGGCGAGGCGCGGGGCGGGTCGCGCAGGTGTGCCACGGGGCGGGGCGTGGGGCGGGCCGGCCTTTGGTGGGCCCCAGAAGCGGCCGGGCCGTGTTTTCACCGTTGCCGAAAGGTGTGGCTTGAAAGCGGAAGCGTTACAAACACGCCAGTGGGTAACAAAAACGGCTCCGGAGTTGAAGCCCGAACCGGAACCGGCAACAACAACGGCGACGGAAGTGGAAACAACAACGTCGCCGGCACCGGCAAAACATGCAAAGCGGATCCGGCAACAAAAACGTACTTTTTCTTGGCCCTTCCGGGCCCGGCAACCAAGAAGCGCGCGAGTCCGCACCTCGGAGCCGTATTTCAGCCGCGTACCCAGGGACAGTTTAAGATCGCTGGGTATCGCTCGGCCCCCTCGTTCTGAGAAGAGGAGGGGCGGAGGGGAGGCTGCGGCCGGCGGCTGGGGGTTGCCAGCATTGTGCTCATGCCTCGTTCTCAGCGAGGATACACGCGTAAATATCGTCCCATGGATGGCCCGATACGCACGCGTGCGCCATACATGACCACAAGCAACAGCATGCCTCCGGCTGTAACTACAAGGCCCTCGCGTCGTCAGAGTCACCCCAAACCCCACCGGGACAGGGATGGCGGCCTTCCCGACGCCCCCCCTACCATGTGAGAAAGGGAGTTGCGAACCCCCAAGTGGGCAACGCCAAAAATCGGGGTCGTCTTCGCAGACACTGGCGCTCAAGCTGCTCGCATAAGGTCAAACGCAAGAACCCTCGCTTCCAGCGACCAGCGTGGCGTGCCGCTTTGGCGACCCGCGTAAGCTGCTGCGTAAGGCTAAGTCGGGCCTGTCCTTCTACAGGAGGAATATTCAAAAATAGTAAAAAGATCGTCTGGGGACGATGTGTTGACATTTTTTTTAGTATTTTAGGATATTGTTTGACTATTTTCTATTATTCGTCCAGAATCCCCTGTAGCCCGACTTAAGCGCAAGGCCGCTATGCCATCTCGCTGAAAACAAGGTCTTGATCGTGGCTCAGGTGGAGACGGCGCCCCTCCCCACCGGACGGGGCCGAGTTTTCCCCCCGTGCTGCCGCCCCCCTCAACTCAGGAGGGAAGAAAACACACAGACACCATTTATCGTCGATCCCCAGGAAAAGATGGGAAAGTCTGGAAAGTGGGGGGAAGACGAAGACCCCGAAAATATGAGAAAAGATTGGGAATCCTATTATTGGTGCGTATTTATTTGTGTGTCCCAGGGCCCCTTCATCAACGCCACCTCCTTCTGCGCGCCGCCACTCCGCCCTGTCCCCGTCGGAGCGGCCTCCAGCGCTCCCGCCCCGCGCCCGCGATGCCCGCGCGGACGCGCGCGCGCGCAGAGCCGCGGCAGAGTTGTGCAGAGACCGTGCCGGCGCCCCTCGGCCGCCGTCGCTCTAGGCCACGGTCTCGGAATTAGCTAGTTTTTTTTTTTGTTGTTGGCACCTGCCTCGGGAAGTCGGGGTGCAACGGCATCCCGCCCCTGGTCGGCCCGGTCAAGGCGTGAGGTTCGGGAAGAGGGGGCGGATCCGAAGATCGAGGAGGATCGTGGAATCTGTTTGGTGTTCTTGGTTGCGCTTCATCATCTTTGAGAGCTCTGGACGCCGCCAGGGGAGTAGCAGCCAGAGCCGAAGCACTCAGCAGGCAACAGGAGGAGCGCGAGTGGGGAATGGAGGATGAGGAGGAGGAGGAGGAGGAGGAGGACTCGGAGTGTTAGGTAAGACGAGAGAGCGGCGGATACGGAGGTCCGAGGGCGAGGAGGTCCCCGAATCACCTGTTTCCTCCCCCCCTCGAACCTCAAACTACGATCTTCCTGGGCGGAAGATTGTGGAATCACGAACTCCATTTCCACGAACCACAAACCAAACATCTCCCTCCTTCCCTCTTCCTTTCCTCCACACCCCTCAAACTCGGGGCATGCTTTGGGAGGCTTGTGGCCCTTCGGGGTGGGGCGGGGGCGCGTGACCTGAACCCCCCCGACTCACAAAATGTTGCCCGAGCGTCCAATTCCCTCTTTCGCCGTGTCTCGACCGCGCACGAGGGGCGGCCAAGGCTGGAGGGGGTCGGCGAGGGCGAGGTGGTCAGGCCCAGGGGGCTCGCCTCGGCCGGAGAGATCGCCACACTTCCTGTCCACGGGGGGGAGGGAGGGGGCAGAGGCCCGGGGCCGGAGTCGAGAGGTCAACAGCTGACCACTGGGCTCGCGACCCGAAGCTTTCCCCCCCCTCCCCTCGGGGCGTTTTTGTTTGCCACTCTCTTCTCTCCCCCTCTTTCTTGCCTTCTCCGCTTGCCCATCCTGGCCCCTTCGTCGCCCCTCGCCGTCCTTCTCGGGCCGTGGGCGTCGCTGCCACGTCGAGGACGGAGGTCAGATCCGGGGCCCACCAATGCAGCCCGATGAAGAGCGGGACGCGGAACCCCTCCCCCACCCTCGGGGTGGCAACCCGGCCGTGCTCACGTCAGCAGAGGCGGGTATGCCATCGTGTCTAGCCGCCCGCTGGGTCCAGGATGCCGGGTCCAGTGGCAGGTTCGTCAGGGCGCCACGCGCCAGCAGGGCCTCGGCACCCTGCCTCTCGGGCTCCCCTGCCACGACCAGCCACCTTCGGGTATGGCCAGGACACCGGGTAAGGGGACCCTCAATTGGCCAGGACCCCCGGGTAAGGGGACCCGGTCAGTGGTGGGGCCCTGGGGCCCCTCAAGTGGCCAGACTCACCAAACCAGGTTTGCCGTAACTGGTGTTTTTTCGGGTGGCGGCAGTTCCGGTCAGTGGAAACGTGACGGGGGGGCGCCCCCGGTACAGATCACTAAACCAGGTTCCATTAAACCCAGTTCCACCAACGCCCGACACTTGTGGACCTCCCACACCTGGAGGAAGAGTATCGCGTTTCAGTCCTCCTCCTCCTTCCCCCCTCCTCACCAGGTCACCCGTGTGGGCGCGAAGATACGGCCAACCCGCATGGTAAGGATGGGCTACTTTCCAAGGTCACCCTTGCATCCTTCCCCTTCCGGTTTTGCTGGCCGCCCCCCGCTCGCAAAGTTCAAGAGGGAAAGAAACACACAGACACAATTCCTCGTCGATTCCCCAGAAAATATGGGAAAATATGGGAAGACAGAAACCCAGAAAATATGGGGAAATATTGTGTGTGTATTTATTTGTGTGTCCCAGGGCCCCTCCAAAAGTGTCGACATGGCCTTCCGAGGCCCTTTGCATCCCTATCGTGCGTCCTTGTGATACGGGTCGACCGTGATTGCGCTCTGCGCCTCGCGGCGTGGGCCAGATCGGCTGTCCTCCTCCACGGGGGCGGCGCGGGGGCGCGATGCGCGAAGGCGGGCGACCTTACAACCTCCAGCCCCTGGAGCGGAGGAGGGGGGAACCTCCACGCCCAGCCACCTGGGGACCTACCACGCCTTCTGGGAGGAGTACCGCGTTCCAGCCTTCCGTTTTCCCGTGCCGACGCATGCCGATCCGATGTACATCTCGATGCGACCAGAGTGGCCGATTCGATGCTGATTGGTCTTGCAATCCCTCCTCGTCACAAGCCTCAAACCCCCCAGGGGTGGAGGAGGGTCGCTACCCCTTTCCAGGGAGTGGCATCCCCCTGCGCAGCCCCCCCCCCCTTCCTCGACATATCGACAGAGCGTCGTCAAACAAAAATGTCCAGCATTGGCAGTCGTGTCTGTTTTGGTAGGGGCCGGGCATCACGCAACCATAGGGAGGGACAGCAGCGATGCAGCGTGGCGGCCGCGGCCCTGTGCGCCGCCGGCCGGCCCCTCCCCCCTCCGGCGAGCTCGCGGGCGGCGCCGCCGGCAGGCGAATGCCTCTCTGGCGGCGGCCTCCCCCTTGTGCGGTCTTGGAGGTCTCCCCTCCGCTCGGCTCCGCCTCTGGAGGGTTTCTCCGAAGGGCTTGGGCGACCCGTCCTCCCCCTCCTCTTCCTCCTCCTTCTCCTTCCTCCTCCGCCTCCTCCATGTCCTGCTCCCCCTTCCCCCTCCT